AGACAAGTCAAATTTTTCAACAGTTTGTGCATGTTGGCAAATGACCACAAAAGCATCACAAGTATTGATTTGGGGGTTACAAGTGAATTTCAGCAAGCAGACGAGTTGCAAGTACAGAATCCATGAATAATGAGGATTGACTGTATTCACATAGGTGCAAAATGGCATACATAGAAGGTTGGCCACTGCAGGAAAACAAAAACTAAAACACCAGTGCTCCTCTCCAGACTGAATGAATCCAGATCTCTTGAGTGAGGGCTAGGTTTTTATATTTCTTTAAATTTTTCCAGGTGGTTCTGAAGCACAAAGAGGGTTGAGAGGATTTACATCACCACGTTTTGTGGCTAGCAATTCTCCTTTGAATGGAGGCCCCATAACTTATGTGATTAATCCATTATTGCTGGACAAATTCGGATTTGTTCCAACATTTTGATATTGTAAATGATACTGATTGGAACATCTTGTATATATCTTTGCACATATCCATGATTATTTCCTTAGGATAATTCCCAGAAGTGGAAATTCTGGGTAAAAGATATGCACTTTTTATGGTGTTTGATATATACTGACAGTGCCCCCCAGTAAAGTTTTGTCAATTTATACTCCAACAAACAGTTTACTGACTGTCATTATTCTTTTCAGTCTTCGCCAATCTCGTCGAAAATATACCCTGGAGTTGGCATTTTTTGTTTTGTTTTGTTTTTTTCCTTTGTCATTACATCCGTCTGCACCAGTGAAAAGAGTCTTAGTATTAGAACTTCTCTATTCCAAGTTATGTCGCTTACAGCAGTAGACTTGACTTCCTCCCTTTTTTCTTGGTGAGAAGGAGGGTGCAGGGCAGGCCACACGTATCCCTCACATGCCGCTTCCATCCCTGGGCGGAGGCTTCTCAGCTCACTGCCGTGGTCCCGAGAGGTTTGCTGTACAGACCACAGCTTACAGAATGCAGAGGGATGATGGGCTTTTGCACATTCTCTTTCCTTGGGCAGCATCCTCGGGAGATTGTATTGTTGATTTTTAACAACTCAATTAGCAGAAGGTATTGTAATATCGCTGTTTTGCATTTAGATGGGGGAAAGGCCATTTTAAAAAATCACCTCGATCAAAATCCCCAGCTACAGTGGAACACGACAGAGCCTTCTCAAACATGCAAAGATCCTATAGAAGATATAAACTCCCCAGAACAGTAAGTACTTCTTCTTGAGAATAATTACCAAAGAGTAATGTTACTTGTGCACAATGGCTTACAGTTTGCACTATGTTTTCACATGCACTATTTTATTTGATGTCCACAGTGATCCCGTGATGCAGGTCAAATTACAATGCTCTTTTTACAGATGAGAAAAATAATATTCAAAAGGGGAAGTGACATGTCAAACCTCACCCAGTTGCTAAGTGCAGGAGATAGAATTTGAACTCCTGTCTGTCCAACATCAAATCCCACGTTTCCCGCTGTAGCACGCTGCCTCTGTTATGTATAAATTTAAACCTTACTAAATGCATTCACTTAACGATTTACTGAGACCTCTCGATGTGTCAGGCATAGGTGCTGCAGACACAGCAGTGAAGAAAACAGATAAAAATTCCTCCTTCTGTGGGTCTTTCACTCTATCTGGAAGGATAATAACTTAATTAAGAAAAAAAAAAAAGCAAGACATAATATGTTAAATGACAGGTGCTTTGGAGAAAAATAAAGCCGGGAAGGAGGTTAGGGAGTGTCATTTTAACTAGGGTTGTCAAAGAAGACTCAATGACATATCTAAACAAAGATGTGAATATGTCAGCTTTGTCCCCATTGGCAATTTTAGTTCTTCCCATCTTATAGCACATTGGAAGCAGAGGTTAGAAACATAAACTTCGAAGGACTGGCCCGTGGCTCACTTGGGAGAGCGTGGTGCTGATAACACCAGGGCCACAGGTTCAGATCCCTATATAGGGATGGCCGGTTAGCTCACTTGGAAGAGCGTAGTGCTGACAACACCAAGTCAAGGGTTAAGATCCCCTTACCAGTCACCTTTAAAATAAAAAACATAAAAAAAACATAAACCTTGAAACTTGGCCTCTGGGAAGTAACAGGCAGTGTGGAACCAGCAAAGGCAGCTGACTCACCAACTACAACATCATTTGGGACCATTTACTGTTAGAGCTAATAGCCTGTCAACCCAACTAGCTCCAAGGCCTACCCGGCTTACAGTCAGAACAATTACTGTTGGTTTCGTGGCATTTGTCAGCAGTTTACCTATCAGGTGCCTCTGCTAGAGCATAAGCACCTCGAGGGTAAGGCATGAATCCTTGTGTGTCCCCTGGACTGAACACAGGTTCTTGACACTGTTGAGTGAATGAAAAGGTGAACAGGATCCCAACACTGAGTAGATTCTTGACAAGTGTTTGTTGAGTGAATGAAAAGGTGAACAGGATCCCAACAGACAGCAGAATGTTGTGGCTCTGACAACCGCGAGACAGACACCCATCCTGCCTAGGCAGATGGCACCCTTTCCCAGTCAGAGTTTATTCCTCAGCTCCTCTTTCTTCCTGGAGTCTTTGCCAGCGTACCTTGCCTTAAGAACAAGCCATGGCTGACATTACACAGGTCCCACTTTAACCTCAAAACAAGCTCTCCAGCACTGTATTTCCATGCACACCCATGAGTTGTCTCTCGGAAGAAGTCTTTCTGGTCAACAATTCCTGGGGGCATGGGGGCAGCACTTCATCTGTACCCTTCCATCTCAGAACCCATCAGTGCCCTAAATGAACTCCAGGGGCACGTCTTGTTGGGGCAAGACAGCCCCCATGAATTGATTTGCCTCCACCACAAAGCAGTGCAGTTTGACAGAAGAAGCAAGAGCCCCAACTTCCCCAGTTTAGATTTTGTTTCTGTGAGCAAGTTACATAAACTCTGTACCCTTCCCTCATTTCTGTAATGGGAATAACAACACCTCTTTTGCCTATTTGGGTTCTTGTTAAGATCTGGTCTTGTTTTTGCTTCGTTTTATTTCATTTTTTGCCCCTGAGTGGTCAGGCACTGGGGACACAAGGAGGTATAAGAGCCCAGTCCCTTCCGTCAGGGAATACAATAGGCTGAGTGTGCCAATGGAGAGCTATGCAGAAATGCTGCTGAGCAGAGCAGGGGAGCAGTTGCCTGGGCACACTCCCCAAAAGCAGCCTTTTCAACAATTGAGGTGACTTATGGGCATGACAGGCATTAAGACCATTAAGGGTGTGGCAGCGAGAAGGGTGTGGTCAGTCCCCTTTTCCCTTTCTGCTCCTCCATCGGTCACATGCGAACCCACCCCCTGGTGTATTTACCGAGGATCTTGGGGGCTTTGAGGAGGAAGGGGTTCATTCTCTGAGTGGGCTAGCACAAAGGGGCTAGCACAAAGCAGATGACATTTGAACTGGATCTGAAAGAAAACACAGTTCATCAGGTCCAGAAGTAGAGTATTCCAGACAGGGGAAACAGCGTGTGCAAGGCAAGGAAGAGCGCCCAGGAGCAGCATTTTAGGGAAAACTAGCTAAAGCCTAGCGGGCAGGGCTTGGCAGGAGAGAGGATAGAAGATTTACCTGGAGAGTCTGGTGAGAGACAGCCAGCGGGCAGGGCTTGGCAGGAGAGAGGATAGAAGATTTACCTGGAGAGTCTGGTGAGAGACAGAACTTGGGGAGCCCTGAATGTCACATCCAAGGATGTCCTCTTTTCCCTTCCGTGGCTTCCCAGTGTTGGAAAGATGACACTAGTCACCAAAGAAGCCAAAAGACCAGAAAGGAACTTGTTGGAATTGTCCCAGCCAGAAGGGATGTGGCCCTGGGAAAGGCAGTGGCAGAGGAGAGTGAGGAAGGATAGAACAGCTGAGAAGCCGTGCAGGGATGGAACCGAAAGCCAGCTCCATTTGGAGGCTTGCAAGAGTAGAGAAAGAAATGTCTTGTGTGTGCAGCAGAGGCTGTTGGAAGGGCAAGGCCTTGTTCTTAGTAATACTGCTATGACAGTCAAGGTAATCGCCAAAATCCTGGACCGGAGGCTCAGAAAGACTGCGTCTTCCTTGTTCGTTCTAGTCTCCCTGCTTATTCCAGAGCAGTGGCTGGTCCATGTAGGCCTGTGTGGAATACCTGCTGGGTGACTGAATGGTTAGACAATCTGGATGGACAGAGCTTGGATTCAGGGAAAAAGAGGCCCCTGTCATCAGCTTTTTTAGCCAAAGCAAGTCCAAGGAACGTTCTGGTGAGCAGCCTGTATTGGTCTGTTTTTGTTGCTTATAACAAAATACATGGAACTGGGTATTTTATAAAGAAAAACAAAATTTATTGCTGACAGTCTCTGAGGGTAGGAAATCCAAAGTCCACCTGGTGATGGTGACAGTGACCCAGGGGTCTCACACTGCAACGTGGGAGAAGCAGAGACAGCAGAGAGAGAAAGACAGTCTCTCCTCTCCTTTTAAAGCCCTCAGAACCACACCCCTGACCACCATTATTCATCCATTCACTACTGCAAGGTTCACCTCTTCAAGGCTCCATCTCTCAATTACCATAATAGGATTTCCCACCCTCTTAACAGTCACAGTGGGGGCTAAGTTTCTACTACATAAAACGTGGGAGACAATTCAAGTCTCGGTGAGTTTGGGGGGAACATAACAATATCCACTACACAGCCTTCACTAACACCCCTCCCTCTCTTCCTCTCCAGCATCCAGCGCCGGCTGTCCCTCCAGCTCCCCATCCTCCACCACGCCTACCTCCCGTCCATTGGAGGCGTGGATGCCAGCTGTGTCAGCCCCTGCGTCAGCCCCACCGCCAGCCCCCGCCACAGACATGTGCCACCCTCCTTCCGAGTCATGGTCTCGGGCCTGTAAGGGTGGGAGGTCTGGGGCCGGGGCCTCCCTGTGACAGAACCACACCGGGCAGAGGCATCTGCTATAGGAACACTGTCGGCTCTGGCTGCCTAGAAGCTGGGCACCACAGCTGGCCTCACGGGACTGCTCGGATGGCACTCAGGTGGACAGGCCGCGGGTGGGGGATGTGGAACCTGACCTCGAGCCTTATTTGTGAAGTTCTTATTCTTTCACAAAGAAGAGAAATGCAAATGACTTCTTCGTTAATGTCTGCAAACAAGGAGGAGCTGGGATATTTGAAACTCACACACACAAAAAAAATCTAGACAAGGAGAGAGGCACTAGAACTCCAGCTAGAAGTCACTGAGTGGCCCTACACAGCCTCGGAAGAGGCAAGGGGCTCCTGGAGAGACCGCCTCTGCACTCTGCACACACATCACTGGTATGGCCCCCCAGGCCAGCCCTTCTCCACTCTGGGGGAGGAGGGAGGCAGGGCTGCCAGGCCCCAGCTGCCAGTCCCGCCAACCCCAGCCTTCCTGGAACAGGGAGTCTGCAGGAACAGCAGACAGGCACAGCCCTGGGGCGGGTGGGCCGGAGCGCTGGGGCACCGGAGCAGGCTGGCTCACAGGCTCCCGGTGGGACCTCCATCACCGGACGAGATGTTTGTGACTCTCTGACAAATGTCACACATTAATACAGTAACACCCGTCCCAGGGACCGTGGGGATTTAGGGCACGTCATTGCAGACACGCTCTGCAGCATTCACCGACAGTCTGTCATGCACCCACCATGTTGACCATGTCCTGTGTTCATGTCGGGTGTTCCCGGCAATGAGGGGCACCACCCAAGCCAATCATGGAATGTCTGTCCCAGCAAACACGGTAAAGAAAGATTGTGCACTTTAACCCCTCTCATCAGGGCCCAAGGGCTGGCTGGGATTTTTTTTTCCCCCCACTGACTGTTTTTATGACCAAAGTGAACCAGGGACATTCTGCTAAAAGACATCCCTCTAGTCAGGGGAGAGAGTTGCTGGCTGAGGCTTCCCGTGGCTTCCAGAAGGTGGCCTTCCATCCAAACAAGCCAAGAAGCTCTCCCCTTGGGGGTCCCTGGGGTAATCAGTCAGCAGACTGGTTCTCATTCATAAGATCACACTTCCCTTTTAATTGAACCCTGAGGAGCACTGGCCTGGGAGTCAGACAGACCTGGGTTCAAGTCCTCATCCCTCTGTTAATTCCCTACATGGCCTTGGGCAAGTCACTAGTCTCTCTGTGAGCCTGTTTCCCCTCTGTAACAGATTGGGGTTGAAATAACACCCACCCTGCCTACCTCACAGGGTCATTCTGAGGATCGAAACTTGATCTCGTCCGGGAGAGCTTTGTACCAAACAGTGAAGCGTCCCCGACCCGTGAGGTATTAGTATGACTGTGACCTACAGCCCTCACTAAAGCTGGGGGTGTGGCCCAGAGAAGCTTCCAGCACAGCCCTCTACCCGGAACAACCTGGCTGGAGGGAGGCTCCCAATGACTTTTCTGACATTCCTAGACAGGTTCATTCTTTGCTAAAGAAAGGCCTGAATGACAACGTCCAGGACGTCTGCACAAATGAGCGGTTCGCTCACTCCCTGAAGATACCTAATGGCAGCTTCAACAGGCAGGCAATAATCTCTTCCCAGAACCACTGCAGTCAGGAATCTATTGTTGTCACCATCAGGCTTTGACGAAAGGGCCCATGGAATCCTAGCATCACCAACATCTCACACACCCTATTTCACAGAGCATAGCTTTCCCCTCCCTTCCCCCAAAGAGAGGTAACAGAGGTACTGTAGCTTTTAGGGGAAAAAAAAATGTTAACACATCACAGGTCAAGTTGAAGTCATTCTCTGTTTAGGCACTAAAAATCGGTGTTGTCACTCACTGTGTATTACCAGTATTTACTTGCTTTCTTGATTTCACCAAAACCAAATTTAATTTAAAGGACCACATTAATTTTTCAAAGGGAAAGAGACAATTGTACATAATGTATACACACACAAAAATACCTGTAGAAATATTATTCCAGCATAGCAGGAAAAAAACAAAGTATTGGACTGTCGGAGGTGAGCGTGTGCGTCTGTAACCCTTTGTGACTCCTGAACGTGCACAGTCTTCTAGGTTAACTCACAAAGTACATTCTGTCTTACTGATACTGTAGGCTCACCCATTTTTTTTTTAATTTCCCTGCAAATAACAAGACCCACAGAAGTGACTCTAGCTATTTAATGGTTCTGTTCTTTTATATACAGCAAACACACCACCCATTTCCGAAGAGGCTTCGGCCTGAAGGCATTTTCCAATGATGTTAGTGCACAAACGCTTTAAATTAGACTGGAACTGCCAGACTCAAATGTAAATGAGGAGTTTCTCGTACCCCTACTGCATGGTATCGATTTTTAATAAATTGTTGCAAATTTGTTTTTATGAATAAAAGGGGGAAAACTGTCATCTTTAATGCTTACTCTTCTCAAAATGCGGGTCAGGTCGGGCCATTCCTCTGCTCTGAAACTCGGGACAGTTCTCAAGCTGCCTGCTCAGCATTGTCCCTTCCTTCAGAAACTGCCCTCCCTAGCCATCTGCTGACAGTGGCAGAGCAGCCCTCTTACCATGTGACCCCAACTTCTGTCCATAGCTGATTGATCCAAGGGTGGGAGCCTGACCCAAGCTGGGCCAATAAATCCCTTCCCCAGGAGTCCTCCGTGTAGAGACATTTAGTCTGCCATGAAAGAGGAAAATGGAACCAACAGAGAGAAACAGGATCAAGAGCTGGTCCTGATGTGTCTGAGTCCCTGGCTAGCTGTTCCTGAAAACCAGCAGCACCCTGGGACTTCACCTGCTCATTCCTCATGCCTTCCTCGGATTTTCTGCTCTTCCTCTAAATTGCCCTTTTTTTTTTTCCTTTTTGTCTTTTTTACTGACCGGTAACGGGATCGCAACCCTCGGTGTCGCGCCCGTACCGGGGACCGGCAACGGGATCGCAACCCTCGGTGTCGCGCCCGCACCACGCTCAGCCAGTGAGCGGGAACCGGTCTCCACATGGGATCCGAACCCTCGGCGGGAGCGCCGCCGCACTCCCAAGCGGCGCACTCTCCAGTTCGCCACCGGGCCGGCCCGAAATTGCCCTTTTTTTTGCCTGGATTAGTTCGAGGTGGGATTTCATCACTTGCAACCAAAAGGTTCTAGACTAATACAGAAAACTCACTGCTTCCCCAGCCCCGACCCACCCCCTCCAGGGCTCAAGGGCCTATCCTTGTTGAGATTTGGCCCATGCTCCTTTCCAGCCTCGTCACCTCCTCCTCTGGGCCTTGTGCTGCTGAGACCTTTTGCATTTATTTCCTCCATCATGCTGGGTGCTCTGCCAGCAGCTCATCTCAAGTCCTCCATCTCATCCTCCTAGATCCCCCAGCATGAAATCTCTTCCTATTTTCTGGCTGAGGGTGCTGCCCCTTTTTCCCAGCACTTGGTACATGCTCACCTGTCCCCTCCCTAACCCAGACCATGAGCTCCCTGGGGATGGGAGTCATGTCTGCTTCCTCAATGTTCTACTGGACTCTCAGATGTTCTTCCCCTTGTATATTAGTCCATTTCTGTTGCTTATAACAAAATACCTGGAACTGGGTACTTTGTAAGAAAATGAAATTTATTGCTTACAGTTTGAGAGGCTGGAAGTCCAAAGTCCAGGGAACACATCTGGTGAAGGCTTTCTTGGTGGTGACATCAGTGATGACAGGCTATCACATTATGAAAATGGTGGAGCAGAAAAAGAGACAGACTCTCCTCTCTCTTCTTTTAAAGCCCTGAGACCCATGCCCCTGACCACCATTTTTAATCCATTCACTACAGCATGGTTCTACAAGCTAATCACCTCTCCAAGGCCCCATATTTCAATTACCATATTAGGATTTCCCACCCTCTTTATATTGCCACAGTAGAGACTAAGTTTTGGGGAGACATTCAACCCAAGGCACCATGGCTCAGAACAGGCTTCAACGAGGCTTTGCTGAATGCAACATTTTGGGTGAGGCATGTCCAGATTGGTTTAGGTATTGAGGACAGAAGAGCAGAAGTGGTCAGAGCAGGCTGGGGAGGCCCGAGGACATGTGACTGGGTGTGGTCCCCATAAATGGGGGGACTGGACTCACAGACTTCATTGGAGGGCTGTTTTCTAGTGCACCAGGTCCTCAATGGTGGAGCCTGCCAAGGAGCAGGCCTCCGAAATCTTGGCCCAAGAGAGCCCTGCTCCATGCCCATCACTCCACACCACCTCTTATACAGCCCTTCTATGTGATGTAGGCTGTTCAAGGATAGGAGATTGGCCCAACATGGAGGAGGGACTTACCCAAGGTAACCTAATGAGTCCCACAGCAGAGACAGAACCAGAGTCCTGGTTAGTCTTCCTACTCTACTACACTCACAGAGATTAAAGCTAAGAAGGATCACAGAGACCATCTTGTCCAACCCCTCACAGTACAGTTGGGGAAACTGAGGCCCAGTGACTGGAGCCAAGGTCAACCAGAAAGTCATGAGAGGGCAGGCATGGAACCCAGATGTGCTGGCCTTGAGACTCCAGCTCTTTTATCTCGAATCTACATCCTCACACTTGACCCTTCTGGTTCCTTTCTACCTGTGGTTCTCCACAGGCAGAACAACCACAGCAGAGAGACACTAGACATGGAGCCACTTCTCAGCCACCTCAGACTCGAGAAATCTTCATAATCCTCGCCAAAGACGGAGTCAGCTGCTGAAAATATTTGGTCTTTCCTCTTAGCACATCCGAAAGTGAGAAATGCCCAGTGTGTTGAAGACAATCCTCATCATCACCGCCACTAAAGTTCTCCATGCCTTGCTTGGCCCTAGGAGCAGGGTTTGTGTGAACTGAGGTCTAAAGGAAAGGCCCCCAGAGCAATGTTGCACTTTATTCTTTTTATAGAGAGTTCTCTCTGTCTCCCTTTCATTATGATTGGCTCATTTCTGAGGTAAAAATAAAATAAAGACTATTTCCCAACCTCAAAGAAAGACATTCTGGAATTGAAGCCCTTTGAGAAAGCTCTGCCTGGGCGGTCTCCTCACCCGGGGCTGTGGAGACAACACTGGGATTTGCTCTGAGGGAGGATGGGAAGAGCTTTCTGGAAACAGTGAGCCTGGGGCACCAGCCAAGGCCTGACCTTC